GATAATCTAAATTTGAACTAAATTTGAGAATACATGTCAACCTGATCAAACATAAAGAACTTGAGTAATGATTTTCAAATAAATTTGAAGGTCTACCTCCATAAATTAAGAATAGTGCTAGTAAGAAAACTTAAGGAACTTCTATGACTACATTTTAAATTACAGTTACAGTTAAGGATTACATTATCCAGACCAAATTTTTGCCAAAATTGAGACTTTTCAAAAGATATTTTGATACTAAGAAATATTTTTTACATAGCATTACGTAAGACTAAGTTAACAATTGCAACGGTTGATTTTCAAGCATCAGATAAAACTCCAGTTAGGTATATCTTCTCAGTTTTCCCATCAATCATTTAATGTAAAAATTCTTGTTTTTTTTTACCTTACCAGAGATAAGGCCAAACCGTTTATAAAAACCAGAATATTTATAACTAAAACTCTCAGTAATAAAAAGTATCAACACAATAAAATTATTAAAATTAATTACAACAACAATAACAAACACAACCTGATCAATTAAAAATGAAAAGTCTCAATAAATAAATTTGTTTTAGCGATGATTAAACAAACAAACAAGGTTATGAATAAAACAACTGTATATATTTAAGATGTATTTTTGTTTTATTTTCTGGTTGAATAAATCCCAATATCTCCCGGAAATTCTATGCAAAGTCCATCAGTGAAACATATAAAAAGCCTTTCATGAATAAATTTTTATAAATTAATTACAAACTGAATTATTTTCATCAACGTTATTTTCTTTTTCTGTTAACAAATCGTATCCCCTTTTATAATAATCGTATAAAGTCTTTCCTTTTTAAAAAAAGCAACAATATAATCAAATATATATCAAATAATACTGTTTTTTAAATTTCATTTCATTAAAAAAATGAAACATAAAACTGCGTGTATGATTTTAATCATTTGTTTCGATAATCTATCAAACTTCCTGAAATTATTTGCGTGGCGATTAGGAGCATTGTTGCTAATTTGACATATTGACAGGTTCAAGTATGTATTTGTGTAAGATAAACGATTTTGAAGCCCAAGATAGATTTATAATGGGTAGAAAATGATGACAAAATAAAATTTTATTTTTCGGGATTTATTACTCACGATCAACTGGCACTGATTCTAAAACATCCATCGTATCGATTGCTTAAACATTTTGATGTTGTAATCCCAATAAACACAATAATAATGTTATAAAGAGGTAGTAATCGATGGCTTAAAGTCAGAATTGTGATGAAATTGCGTTTATATGTTTACTGAGGATTTAATTAATGTAGTTGAGGTATTTATAACATCTCTAATCTACACTACTTAGATTATGTTAGTTTTAATCTATATTTGACTGAGTTTAAAGATTATTGTGTTACTATGACGTAAAATTTACTTAATTCTTTCCTTCGTTAAATGATATTTACGAATTTACCCGATTTGTGTATAAACTTTTTGAAATTCATTTAATTTTCATTAAATGATTTTGAATTTCCTTAAAATATTTCAATGTCAAATAATTGCATTTGTCGAATCCCGTTATCTGTTTATCAAAGTTATGTCTCTCTAATTTTTGTAGAGCGATTTACGCGAATTATAAATTAAAAAGGAACAGGAAAAGATAGTGCGCTCAAGACAGGACGTCGCGCCTTTATTTTACCTATATAAAGAAATAAAGGTGCGACGTCATGTCTGGAACACACTCCAGCCCCATCTTTTCCGATTGCATGAAACTCCCCTCTCTCAGCAAGTCTTGATTTTTGGCGAGTATAGTAGTTGTCCTTGATCTACATATTCTTCATTTGGCTTTATATTAAGTTCTGACATGTTTATTTCTCAATCTCTCCATTTTTATCACTCACCTGTCTTTTCGTAGTTATTTTTCATCCTGCTCCAAAGCTTGGATTTTATTTTCTGCCGATAACATGATGCGCATCCTTATGTTAGATATACCAACTTATGCATTTCTATTTCATTCATCATATAATATGATCTATTTGGATTTATTATTTCATTTTGTTCTAAATTAATCCTCAAATATTGAAAATTGTTAACCTGTTCTATTAGTTCTTCCTGTACTCTTATTTAACATACTTTTCGTTCTTCAGATATAGCCACTACTTTACTCATATTTTTATTTAAGATCATTCCGTTTCCGGATAATACCTTATACTATATATTAATGTTAAATCCCTGTTTTGGTGAACTTGTTAGAATTATATAGTTCTACAAAATAAATTCTATTTCCCATTCTTTTGGCACCTGCTCTTTTTTCGATACTTTATTACCAATCTTGAAAATTGGTGGAATTCCGTTTTGTTCCATGTTTTTAACCATATCAGTTGTCATTTTGCTTTTTCCCGGTGCTTAACCCATCTTCATCAGTTTTATCGCATATATTAGTTATTCTCTTTTTATTTCTTGCCTCAATATTTATTTCAATTTACTCTCCTTGTTGTATTTCTTCGTCTTCATATCTTTGTTGCTCTGTTTTCACTTTCCCATGATGTAAACCTTTAAAGTGTTATTTCCAGCGTTCTATTTTTTCTTTTCTTTTGTCAGTATTTTACCTCCTTCATTTACTATTATCAAGCTATCAACTTTTTTATCTCCTCTAGGACTTTGTAACACTTTCTAGAGCAAGTTTCGGTTACTTTGTCCATCTCTCTCTAATTTATTCCCAAATTGTTTCCATATTTTTTGTTTTGATTGTTTAATTAACATCTCCACTTTTATCTCTGTTCATTGTATCATTCATAAATTCTTTCTGTTTTCTTTCCTTAAGTACTTTAAGTCCCTTTTAATCTTAACTTCCTGTTTAATTTCTTGACTTATAACTAAATAAGATTCATAAGTGTTAAGGTTGAGGATTAAGCTATAATTGACAGCGCACTGAAGACTCTCCATCCAATGACATTACAATCTAATTCGAACTTTGGCCTTCCATATTTTCCGCCTCCAGGCCCGTTTGTCCCCCCCTATCGCTTTCCAATTATGCAAATGTATTATGGTTCGTGCATCTGTTTCCACTTTATCCTACCACCGATTACCTGGTCATCCCACTGGTTGTCTGCCTTCAAGTTCTTCTTCAACATACACTCTTTTGGTCACTTTTGAAACGTCCATTCTTTCTATATTAGCCGCCCATTTGAGAAATTGTTAGTAAAGCAGATCCGGAAAAGGCACATGTGTGTGGAATACATGCATAATCTCCAAAAACTGTCCACCTCCGAAAATCTACTATAGAAATAAGGATGCAATCAGATCGACATTTCATAAAGGTCGTATAATATGATGAACCAATAACTGAACCACTTTGTGAAATATTCATCATAATATATACCCAACTAGTTGTACGAAAGAAAAACAACATTACTGTTCAAGATGGGAGATCAGTCCAAATAGAACACTTACTAAAACATTTCTGGAAAGAGTGCTGGAAAGAAATAGCAACCGTGTCGCAATCTATTCAGACGTGTTCGAGTAATGAAGCTTATAAATGCAAAAGTAGACAGTTTTGCATAACACACAAAAAATCTTTTAAATAATATTCAACTGTTACAGACATAGATCCTCAACAGGATCGGTTATTAACTGCGTTGTGGTATCTTGTCTAAAAGTATTTCTGAATCATGAATTAACTACAAGATATACCTTGTATAATAAATGCATTAATATTATCCAACAATTTCCTAGAGCCAGCACTATTTCCCTTAATTATCACCTTTAAAATCATTCATTATTATTCAACATTTTCTAGCGACGACTAAACTACTATATACTTCCAACCCAACCCAACCCAAGCCACGTGTAACAGACTTGTAAACATTTGTTCACATTTTGTTTTCATTTTGAAAGCATTATTTTGCGGACTATTGTGTTTTGCAAAATTATGAGTAAGTAAAGCGAAAGATTTGAAGGTCCCACACCCATCTTTACTTACCATCTTACTTTTTTAAGACTATATTCATAAGACTGTAATTGATTTGTCCAATGACAATGAATCTGACTGACCAGAATCTTGAGATTCTTTGTAAAGTGTCTTGAAAATATTAGACGAACGATGTCAGAATTATGTTTGAAGAACTTTGAAAAGTTAAAACATCGTTAAGCTTTGCTTCAACTTGCAAGCATTGAATAAATGAACGAAGAATTTTTACAATAAGTATGTTGATCTATCACTCTAAGTCACATAAATATATAGAAAAATGGGATTCATTTTTAATCATCCAACTACCACGAAAGCATCCGACTTTTTTTTCTAATTTGATATCAAGATTATTAACACAAACGCCGTTACATCTAGAAGAGGAAAATGATGAAGACGATACTTCGCTGCCAAAACGCAAAAAAAAAATATAACATGTTTTGTTCCTGAACTTGGGAAAAAAGGTTCTCTGTAAATTAAAGTAAATACTTTTATTTAACACTCAAACCCACCCTGAACGATCCAAACTTATATAAAAAGTACAATAAATATTTTTACATTTAAATTTTTCCACTCGAAATTATTTTTTGATACAATTAATATGTATACTTGAAACAGCTCTAATCTAAAAATAAAACCAATACGTATTATTCTATATTATAGTAAATTACGCACTTTGCTCCTGTTGTAAAGGAATTCTCCAATTTATTACTATCAAAAACGTTAATAAAAACATAAAAAGTTTATCTAAAAAATTAAATTGATGATGTTTTTGTCATAAATAATCTGTTATTTCTGTTAAGTTACTAATAAAACCTTAATTAGTCACAAAAAAATTATAATGGTTAAAAAAAATAAGAAAATTTGATAAACAAATAATGCTTAAACAGATTTATTTAAAAGTAATATCGAATAAAATAAATTATTAAAAACAATAACAGAAACATCTCGGTAATATTATAAAATATACTATAAACCAAGATTATTTTCTTTCGAAACGATTATTTAGAGTAAATAATTAAAGAACAAGTATATTATTAATAATTAAGTTTAACAAAAGAACTTGTTATAAATTAAAATCAACTTTATTAATAATTATTTTTCAGCAATTGGAAATATTTTATCTTTTTCTTTTTAGAATTTTGGGTATATGCCGACATCACCAACATCTATACAAGTTCCATCAGTAAAGCAAATAAGTTCTCGTGTTTGGATGTACTCATAAAGATTTATAGCAAATTCATCAGGCATTGACTACAAAAAAGTAAATATTTTTACAACAGAACTAATTGAATCAAATAAAATTGCTACCTTTGAGTTTTCACCATGATCATCATCGTTTTGTTGTGTAAGTAAATTATAACCACGTTGGGCATAAAATTTTATGAATTCCAATCTCTCTGCAAAATTTGATCAAATATTATTTTTTTAACAAAAATAAATATTTTCTTTTACTTACCTTCAGATGGAATACTTTCAATAACTGATACAACATCCAATTCTCCATTTGTAACAGAAAATTGAACACACAATACAGCGACTATCACCAAAATGATAGCACACTTCATTTTTACTGTAAGTGAAAAACTTTTTGTTAGCTTTACTTGAAGTGATTAACGAAAGGACACTGTTGGTTGGGTTTTCAAACGATTTGTATTTATCGCCACCCAACACTAATCTGCTGCTGATATGACTTAATCGATATTTTCCTAATCCAAGTGATTGACGCTTTACGCACACTATATAAGTGGTATTCTTACAAATTAATTGTCCTTCACATTTCTCCTTGTTGTCATCGTCGTCGTCACCCTATTGCTTTTTTAAGTAGTAGTTTATCCCATTGTTTACGTAAAGTAAATAATCCTTCGTATATAATCCTGGATCTCTACAGTTATATACGTAAAAAATGATGAGCTGGTGTTATTTATCGGAAAATAAATCCGGTTAATATCAAAAGATTATTAGTGTGCGTACACAATAATTAGTGTTTGAGGATTTCGGAGTTCTTTGTTGATTAGTAAAAAATATTAATTTCAGATTTATATTTAATTCAGGTCAATTATTAACAAACAAGGATTTTTAAAAGTAATTATTAAAAATTTTCCGTTATCTTAAAAATAAATATTTACTTTTCGAGGCGGCATCGGCACTTTTTAAACATTGTTGGTAAATACCACAGGTTTATTTATTTTGTAATTTTTAATTCTAGAAATATTTTCGGATATTGCCAGATCTTGTAATTATTTATTGATTTCTTAACTAATGATCTTGATGAATTTTTATGAAATATGAAAAGATTAGGTTAATATATAAATTAATAAATGCTTAATAACATTTAAAAAAATGAAATTGTTATTTTTATAAACAACATCGTAATTTATTTCGACAATAGGCAATTTGTGGAAAAAATATTTCGTGAAATACTCACTCTAAATCATCAAATTATCTGAATTATGAGTCATGATGTATACCTTTATGGAAATACTCCATACAATCCTACCTGAAATAGCTATTAGGTATTATTTATAACTGGTAATTCCTATATCTATAAGAGATTCCAGAAGTTTTAGCATTTTTTGTAAAAACGTCCGCGACTACATTAAAATAAATAAAGATCTTTTCATTCATACATACTCCTCGAATTCCAGCCAGCAGACTTCACTGCTTTTGTGTTTTTGTTATCTTACATTCATGTCATATAGTTTTTGTTTTCTTTATTATATTATAATTAATGGTGCATCACAGACGTAATTAAACGTCTATAGCACATATCAAAGAGTAAGTAGTACATTTTGAACTTTATACAAGGCATAGAATTACATTTGTTTTTGATTATGTATCTCAATTGTACTTTTGTTGTGCTTTGATTTAAATAAAAGTTGATTTGATTTGATTTTGAAATATTGAAATATATGGAGTTTATGATTTCAATACAAATAAATAATACAGTATACAAATGCACGTAAGGTTGGGTTGGGTAACAAGCTGAGCACCAAATTTACTATATTTTAATAAATTGTCCTATAACAAAGGTTTGGACTTATTCAACGACATGGAAAACTGCATACTGCATTTTGTTATAAGCAATTTATTTTTAATAGTTTGAAAGCAACTCAATATTCTGTTTGGATTCGATCATTTTATTCAAATTTGGACTTGTACAATTTGTTTAAACACTTTTGCGAGTGTTTCGGGCATTATTTCAGTGATTTGAGGTAGACCAGGCTCTAGAAGCGAGCAATAAAGAACCAAATAGACCACATTATAAGCTAAGAAAAAAACTGCCTCAGGTTAAAACAACAAGCATCTAGGACAGAGGTGGGCAAACAGTCGATCGCGATCGACCAGTCGATCGCGAAGAGATCGGCAGGAGATCACAAAAGTTTTTCAAATACTATTTAGTGAATATAAACCCAATTTTAATAAACTATTGACATGAATAAATAATTTAATTACCATTCAATGCGTTATTTTTTTCCTATTTCTGAAAATGTCGATCGCCATTAACAGCTAACATTTACGTCGATCATTGAACATTAAACTTTGCCCACCCCTGATCTAGGAGAATCACATACAACATAAAACTCGTAAGGGAAGGCCTTCGAATGCTCCAAGAGCACCAAAATAAGGTAAGGAGAAAGATAAGAAATATTTAATGCTTAAAGAGATCATTTATAGAAAAAATTTTGAAAACCTACAAGGATTCCATAAAACTATCAGCTCCAAAAACCATAGGAAGAGAAATTAAGATAAACAGGATATGGTTGTCTACAGAAACGTCACAATTAATTGGACAAAGAAAAATATGTATATCAAAATAATAGGAACGTCACAGGACAAATAGAGGACGCAATTTCGAACTAAATATCTCTAAATAGAGGAAGAAATTAAGAAAAGTTATTAAAGACTAACAAGAATATGTAAGAAATATGATAGAGGATGCAGAAAATGATCGCAGAGTCCATAATATGAGAGAACTCTATACAATAACAAAAAAAATGGGGAGAAAGCCTGAGATAAATATGAAACTCAAACGAAATCTATTTATTTAAAGTAATATATATATAATATGTAGGAAGTAAATCAAACCGAAGAGAAGGTGTTTGGCCATCCAAGTATTGGCCAAGATATATTGCATGTTACTGAAAATGAACCCACTAAGGAAGACAATAAAAAAAAATATCAAAAAAGGAGATCTATAAAACTGGAAAGCAATCACATTAACCAACGAATAACAGTATATAGATTATAGACGAGTATATAGACGGAAATAGATAAGATCCTGCGAGAAAAACAAGCTGCATTCAGGAACAAGAGGTTATGCATAGAACATAGATACACATGAAAGAGTATTCTCAAAGAAGTAACCGAAATTGGCAGAAATGTCTTCGTGTTATTTATTAACTTCGAGAGAACGTTTGATTTAGTCAACCATGAGACGGTGTGGTTGACTCCTGACGTTGAAATACCGGGAAAATATATCAGGTTAATTAGAGCATTATATGACAATGCCAGTAGTAAAAAAGAACATCAGGACGGAATAATCAGCGGACTAAAAATCCAACGTGAATGGAGAGGTGTATCTTATTCACTTTGATATTCCTAATAATAATGGACTAGGAGGTAATGGAAGGAACAATAGACAATATAAGGTATAAACTGGTAAGGTTGTGCAAAATTGGATAATTTGGAATTTGCAGATAACGTTTGCCTAATTACACACACATGAAAAGAAATGCTATCGAAATTAGGAAAATTAAAGGAAGCAGAAAATAACATTAGTCTCAACATAAATACACACGAACAAATGATATACACAAAATAAAAGTTTGGACAAACAAAAAAGCGAGGCAGGGATGTCAATTATCTGACTATGAGTCTGTTTTTGGTGTATATTAGACACGAAGACCGAAGATTAAAAAGGGCACAAAATGTAGTAGTAGTGGTAATGACAGAAAAGATACTCATTGGTCTATGTGGTGAGGGCAAGGGATATTTACAGAGATGACAAGGAGAGGTGAAAAGAGTTTGAGATAACAATATAAAAAAGAAATGTTATAAAATATTCCACATACAAAAGATGGAAAAGACAGAGATGAGAATACAAGGGAAAAGAATTACAAGAGGTAAAGAAAATCATGTACCTGAAGTTTTAAAACCTTTTAAAATTTATTGGATTGGATTCGAGAGTATGTAGTTTTTCAAGAAGGAAGTTTATTTTAGACTTTTTTAATGATTTTAGAAATTGTTATCGTAATTTATATTATTTATTTAAATTTACTAATCAGGGATATATTCATTTTTTAAACTTTTCTGATATAAATGAAATTTGTGCTTTATCACAAAAAAAAATAATTTTTTTATAATACAGAACTAATGAATAGCTTGTCTATGAAAAATAACTTATTATGTCTTATTAATCTATGTAGATTAATTCGTATCTAAATTTTTAATATTAACAAATCCGTTTCCTGTTGTGGTATCCAAAAAATTTATCATTTACAATGTAATGCGCTGACCTCATTTACAATGTAATTTCTTGAAAATGATTTCCATATTAAAAAACACATACCTTGTTTATTTTATAACAATTTCCAGTATCAAAATTATCCGAATATAACCTGAACGAATTATACCTCAAGTGAAATTTTAAAATTATTTGTTGATATCTGATTGGAGATAATTACGTTTTAATTCACACTTTAATATGTCAATAGGATTTCATTTCGAGAAGGATGAGTTTAAAGTTTACAAAAAGTGATTGAATTATCTGGCTGCTTGTCGTGTTTTTTTTTACAATGAGTCCGACCGACCCCAAATGATAAAATCATAAAAACAAGTATTGAAAATGCATTTTTTTGTACATTACTTTACACAATGTTTTTATTTTTCAAATGGTTAATAAAAGCAAAATAAAATATAAATAACAAAACAATGATTTTTTAATATATTGTCATGTACTCAGGGTAACCTTTTCCCTACTTGCTGTATTCTTCTTGCAATCATACCGTTTTTTTAATTATTGACATCGATATTAACAGTTACACGTCACCGTAAACTCCACAGAATTTTTTATTGTCTTCTTTGAGGATCTTTTGGGATATTTATTCATTCTAACTCACCCTGTATAAGTATTTGAACATATGTGACTATTTTATTAATCAATACAACATCTCTCTTTACCTCTGCTTATTTATATAATTTGGTAAGATTATCTGTTGCATCATTTGATAGCTACAATCGTAAGAATATAGATTATCTTATTCTAAAGTAGGATTAAGTAGAATTTGATTGATGTGCTGAACAACAATTTACTTACATGGCGAATCATAAAAAAGTTTTACACAGGTTCATGGACAAAGTAAGAAAAATAAACCAAAGTCTCTTATTTACTGAATATTTTATATACACCACTAATTGTATGTACAGGGTGAGCAAATTTGGGTGTTATTATAGGCTATCTCAGAAACTATAAGAGATACGAAAAAAGTAGGTGCCATGTCCCAGTCTCTTTTTTCGATACTAACCCAATCCTGCAAACACCAAACCTCTATCTTCTTTTGTTTTTAAGTTATAGCCAAAAAGTCAAATTTTCGTGATTTCAAAAAATGCTCATATTTCGTTTATTTTTGAAATTAGAGAAATGGG